GGTTTTGTAACCCAAAATTTCAGAGAGGTTTGAGAGTTCTGAGAGCATAGAAAACCTATGCTTAGGGCCTGCCAAGTGGCTCAGTTGGTAAAGAGCTCGCTCAAGAGTGCAAGTCCCGCCCAGCTGAGCTGCCACTGAGCTGCCAACAGGTGGCAGGATGGCTCAGCTAAAAAAAAAAAAAAGAAAGAAAAAGAAAAGAAAAAAAAATCTATGCTTCAGGACAAGCAGTAGGAAACAATAGTTCTCTAAGTTTCATGTGGAATGGAAAGAGTGAGAATATTTCCCATGAGCACAAAAATCATGATGACATGAAAAGAAAGGCAACCAGATGTGATTAACCTTCAAGTTCATCTTTTCTTCTGCCAACCACAAGCTGCTGTAAATTTTAGTTCTAGAATTTTCACTTAGTTCTTTTTTTTTTAAGATTTTTTTATTGGGTAATTGGGAAGGGGAACAGTGTTGGGGAATTGTGGAAGGGGAACAGCCAAGTTGTTGTCCTTCAATCTTAGTTGTGGAGGGCGCAGCTAGCTCAGCTCCAAGTCCAGTTGCCATCTGGCTGCCCTTCAGCAGCTCCCGGCTGCTCAGCTCAAGGTGCTGCGTTCAATCTTAATTGTGGGTGGGCATAGCCCACCATCCCATGTGGGAGTCAACCAGCAACCTTGTTGTTAGGAGCACGTGCTCTCACCAGCTGAGCAATCCTGCCACCTGTTGGCAGCTCAACGGCAGCTCAGCTCAGGCACAGCTCACTGGCCCATGTGGGAATTGAACCGGCAACCCTGTTGCTTAGAGCTCACACTCTAAACAACTAAGCCACTCGGCTCACCCTGGTTCTTTTTTATAGTTTCTGTATCTCTACTAAGATTCTTTACCTGGCCACTCACAATTTCTTTTAATTCTTTGAACATATCTCAAAGTTGATTTCTGTTAACTGCTTTTTTGTTTGTTTGTTTGTTTTTTACCTTTTGTTGACATTTTCATACCACCTTTATGAGAGAGGGACTTCCTGGTGATGGTAGTATCATAATTGGGTCAAGCAATGACACTAATTGATGACAAGACTCTAATGTTAAAGCAGTGAACTTGAAGTGGGGCAGGGCATCACCTCATTAGAAATGGCACATAATGTGTGATGACCTCCAATCTTCAAATAAGTAGGACAGCTTCATCCTTGTAAAAACATAAGGGTAGCATTGCCAATCTTCTTGATCAGTCTTAAACAACTGGTAAGACCTTCCTACTCATTAAAGAGTAGAACTGGAAGAGAATTTAAAACAGTAGCCTCTAACTCCCTGCCTTCAGCCAAGTAGAAGACAGTTTCCTGCAATGATTAATTTTTTTCTAAACAGAAAGCAGCTTCTTTGCATTTCCCAATATAAAGGCAATCCATACTTAGAGAAAACAAGAATCAACCAAAACAGACAAGCATAAAGAAAAAAGTACTACCCAGAGAAATTACCATTAATATTTTGCTAAACATCCTTCTAGATGCTGTCCTATGCAAATACTTATGCGAATAATTTTATATGAATGGAATAGTATACATGCTTTTAACCCAATAGGCAGTAAAGATTATTATCAATAAATATAAATACATATCCTTTTTAATGACTGCATATTCCATTACATAAATATATCAAAATGTATTAAACCAGTCCTCTATGGAAGGACATTTAGTTCTACTAGATTCTTGCAATAATGAACATTCCTTCTGCTTTCTGTGTGTGTGTGTGTGTGTGTGTGTGTGTAAGTAACATCTTTGTGTATTTGTCAGGTTATGTCTCCTTGGGGCAGTCAATTTTATTATTTCTGGACTGTAGCATATTCAAAATTTTTTATAATAAACTATTCTCACCAATAAGGTACCTACTCCCACTCCCACCAACAGTGGGCCCATTTCCATTTTTGGTTATACTGGGTATATGCAATCTTTTCAAACTTTACCAAATTGTCAGTCAAAAAGTAACATCTAAATTGTATTGAGTGATTTGGCAACGAGTTCTAGTGTTGAGGATGGGTACCTTGCCATTCTGTCTTTAAAAGGGCAATGTATGCAATATACAGGGGCCTGGGATGTAAATTAGACAGACAGTCTGGCTTCCATACTCCTAGTTTTATTGCAGTAACACTGTTTCTTTGGGTAAGCCACTCAGCCTTTCTATGCCACAGTTTCTTCAAATGTAAATGAAAGACTTGGAATGGGTGTTCCTGAATTCCTTTCCAGCTACTATTAAGTAGGTGATAGTGGGGAATGAACTGTGCAGATCTACAGCAGACACTGTTCGTTGACTAGGCCAATGTCATTCCCAGACCCTTCTCCCTTGTCTGCCTCTACTCTAGAAAAGGCTGGAAATGCTAAATACCTCCTTTCTCAGCCCCCTTTGAAGCAAAGAGGTGGCCATTTTACCAAGTTCTGGCTAATGAGACAAGAAGGAAAGTCTATTGTGGTGCTTCTGGAAAACTTTTTGCTTTCCTGATGAAAGAAACCGGCACAAGAAGAAGCAAGTTCACAGGCGCTGTCTCTCCCTCACTATCTGCCTTCAATGAAGACTTGAGGCCTGGACCTGCAGGGCAATGTGGTGACTTTCATGATGTGAACTCAGCTAAGCAGGATCTGTTTTCTAGAATCCTGCATGGTTTCAGGTTACTGTTGGCTCTGAGAGAAATGTTGCATAAGATCTGGAAGGCAGTGGTGAAGCAGCGGCCATGGTTTTCATGCTCTGCAGGACAATGCAGGGCTCCAGGTACAGTGGTAACTCTGACACACTGTCACTGATCTACTGGGTCACCTTGCTGGCATGAGGCAGCACCCAGACTCCAGCTCCTACCTGATCTCCTCCTTCAGCTTCTCCAAGCTTTCAGCCAAGTGCATGTGCAGCTCCATAAAAGGTGCCAGGTTCTCCTGCAGTACATCTGTATTATCAAGGTTGGAGGCAGTGAGAGACACTTGCAAATCCAATCTGTCTTTAAGGATTCCAGTTTATGAATTCCAGTTTGTCCCCACATGTTCCAAGTCTGTTCCTGCTCTCATCCAAGTCCAGCTTTCTACCCTGACTGCCTTCTGGTTCACCTATGGTAACTTCAGGCTCAACATTGGAACCAAAGACAGCAAACAGCTTTGCATAGACTCCTCCACCAGCTGCCACGATCATGTAAGTTTTCATGTAGCACTGTCCAGTAGAACTTCTGTGATGATGGAAGTGTTATTTATATATGAGTTGCCCAATATGATAACCATATGTGGTTAGTGAGCACTTGAAAGATACCTAGTACAAGTGAGAAATGAATTTTACTCTTATTTAATTTTAATTTAAATAGCCACATGTGGCTAGTGACTACCATATTGAACAGCATAGGTCTAGGGCCTCATAGTAAATCTCTTGCTCTCTCTTACTCATAGTGGTTCTGTCTCTCTGGTCGAATCCTGACTGATAACAGGCACCCACTGGTGACTACGAGTAGGTGGGTAGGATGTAGACAGAAAGCCAGCATGCTAGGAATGACAGGGCTGGAGGAAAGAGTCCTGGGAGGCCACCAATGAACTTCTTATATGAGAAAAATAGACCCCCGTTAGCTCTTCCTGTTGGGACCCCCAACCCCATTCCAATTCCCAGGCCAGAATTATCAAGGTGAGCTAAAACATTGAGGGAGAGCAAGTAGGCTCTCGCAAGGTGTGCTCTCTAGCAGGCAATCTTTCCTTTACTCCAACATGATGAATTTTTTCCTCTTGCCAGTTCCCTATGCAGATCCTTCTACGTCCATTCCCTACGTGAATATGACCTTCTTCATAGAATGTAATTACTCATGCTTTCAGTCACACTGGATTTTTGTTGTTATTTTAAATATCATCCCATTTTCACAACGCTGCAATTATGACAATAAGTGGTAAGCAACTATTTTTGTCAACTTCCGTCTCTAAAGCTGATCACTTAACAAATAAACTTGACCAGGAATGGGTCTTGCCGCATGGGTCCTGCACGGTTAACTGAAAGTGGAAAAATTAGTGGCAGAACATTTTCTTTCAAGGCTGAGCTTGAGTAGAGAACAATGTATAGTGGTTTGTCCACAAACACAATTCTATACAATTACAAGAAACATTCCTTTTATCCTTTTTTTTTTTTTAAATGGTTGCTTAAACAAGTGGTTATCCGTTACGGTGTTGACATAGGAAAAGGCGAAATGCTGGCAACGGAATCAAAGCAGTAGCGCAACAGGCAGCTCAGCGGCGTGTGTGGTTTGGTTCCTTGGATGGACAGGCTTGCTTTTCACTTCCTCCCAATTTTGGTCCCGCCCTCCTAGTGTATCTTCCTGAGAATGGTAAGAGAAAGAACATATTGGTCTCACTGCAAGCCGCTTTTGGTGCCTGTTGTTCCCTTCTTTTTCACGTCTCACGGGACTGGGTCCTCCTAACTTCTCCTTTGGTGAGTGGCTTTGCTTTCGCGTTCTTCGTTCCAGCCCTCTGCCGGAGCTAAACACACCCTAGAGGAGGTCAGAAGACCATACCTCTTCGAGCATTCTACCCCGAGGGAGCAGAGCAAGGAACACAGCTCTCGCCTGCCGCGTGCAGCTCCGGGACTCCGGCAGCCCGCACGCGCCTGCCCAGCGCCGATCCCGGCGGGTGCCCGGACCCCTCTTCACTCCCACGCCCCGCCGGCGCGCCCGTAGGACTCGCAGTGCGGCGGGGCTCGTGTGGGCGCTGGCCCCTGGACGGCCGTAACACAGCGCCCAAGCACTCTCCCGGGTGGCGTGGAAGAGGGGGTGGCAGCCCCTGGGCGCGCGGTGAGCTGCGGTCGGCGGAGCCTTGAGCGCCGCCCGGATGCTGCAAGCCAGCTGCCTCTCCGGGAACTGCGGGAGCCAGGGCCGAGCCTGCCCTCGGTGCGCGCTGGGGGCCGGAAGGGGGCTCTTGATTTCGATTCCTCCCATTTTCCCTCTGGGTCTTGGAGCACTCCCTCTCTCAGACCCTCCTCCTCCCAGGTGCAGGCAGGGAGATAAGGATACATCTCTCCTCCCGGCACCCCACCATGGGCAATACCTCCAGTGACTACCAGCCGCAGGAGCTCTGCGAAACTCGACAGTGGCTCCCCTCCGGCGAAAGCCCAGCCATCAGCTCTGTGATGTTCTCTGCCGGGGTGCTGGGGAACCTCATTGCGCTGGCACTGCTGGCGCGCCGCTGGCGGGGGGACACGGGGCACAGCGCCAGCCGCGGGTACTCCATCTCCTTGTTCCACGTGCTAGTGACCGAGCTGGTGTTCACCGACCTGCTCGGGACCTGCCTCATCAGCCCCGTGGTGCTGGCTTCGTATGCACGGAACCAGACCCTGGTGGCACTGGCGCCCGAGAGCCGCGCGTGCACCTACTTCGCCTTTGCCATGACCTTCTTCAGCCTGGCCACGATGCTCATGCTCTTTGCCATGGCCCTGGAGCGCTACCTATCCATTGGGCACCCCTACTTCTACCAGCGCCACGTCACGCACCGCAGAGGCCTGGTGGTGCTGCCTGCCATCTACACCGTCTCGCTGGTCTTTTGCTCCTTGCCACTGCTGAACTACGGGCAGTACGTCCAGTACTGCCCCGGGACGTGGTGCTTCATCCAACACGGGGAGACCGCGTACCTGCAGCTTTACGCCACCCTGCTGCTGCTCTTCATCGTCGCAGTGCTCGCCTGTAACTTCAGTGTCATTCTCAACCTCATCCGCATGTACCGCCGGGGCAGGAGAAGCCGCTGCGGACCCTCCTCGGGCAGCGGCCGCAGCGGCCCTGGGAACCGCAGGAGAGGGGAAAGGGTGTCCATGGCGGAGGAGACAGACCACCTCATTCTCTTGGCTATTATGACCATCACCTTCGCTGTCTGCTCCCTACCTTTCACGGTAAGTCACTCCGTTTGCACAGCCCAGCTCTGCGCGGCCCTCTCACACTCTCTCCTCTCACTCCTACCCTTTCCACAGACATACGATCTTTTGCAAGTTGTAAAAATATCTCCTAATGTGAAAAGGTCTGCAGACTTCCTCTCTCCCGTCTCACCTTTACCCCACTTCCTTCCTCCCCTAACCCTGGCGTATGGGTGTTTCTAGGCTAGCGTTTCTCGTACAGTAAGTAGTACAGGCCTATGGACAGGGAGCCTTGACACGCACTAAGCCAGCCAAACTCCCCACCTTGGAATCAAAGGCCCCTTACAGTGAGTGTAGTGTCCCTGTCCCACCATGTCTAGCCTGGCTTAGTACCTGAGGAGGAGGCAGCCCCTTCCACCTCTGGACAGTTGTCAGCCACAGTCTGACTTCCCTGAGCTGCAGTTTGCCTCCTGTTACCCCCCCCCCCCCCTCCCCGCTCACTGGTGCTAGTTCACCATACTTTGGCTGCTGTTTCTCCCAGGGCAAAATGTGATACCCAACCACCCAACCCAGTGCATTGGAGCCGCCATTGAGAATGGTCCCAGGTGAGAAGGGCCCCTGTTGCAGAACTTCAAAGCATTCATTATTTGTCCTAAATGTTCAACAAACACCCAGTTTACAGGTTTCCCAATTTACACATTGGGAGCATAACTCTTTGTGGCCATGAAAATTCTTAATACGTCTGTAATGATAATTAGAGGAGCGAATGATTGCGTAGAGGAATGTGTTGCTAAGCTTTTGAGATACCTCTAGAGGAGGTATTTGTACCTTCTTACAAAATATCTTCTTGATGTCACTGTCAGAAATATATACAGGTGCTCTTCATCTTACAATTGTGCACTTTATGGGCACAAAGCCACAACAGGAATGGCTGGTCCATCTCAGGGATGGGAGAGTCAGGCTTGCCCAGCACTTGCCATGACCCAGCAGGCCAGAGCCTGCCTGGAGAACGGAAGGACAGGAGCCTAGTTACTGGGATGGGTGCTGTCCTGGTTTGGGGCAACCCCAGCAGTCAGTTCTATGATGCCGTGAGTTTGAGCCTCCTAAGGTATACAGAGCCTGGGGAGTATGTGAACGTGGGCTGGACTCTTACAGAGAAATGGGAACTGGGAACTCTGGAAGCTCCACTTCCTAATCTTCAGAACAAGGAGTAAGTAGTTTGGCAATAACTCCCACTTGCCACAGTCTTGGAGAAAAGAAAGAGATGGACAGTGCCTGCCATTAGCAGGGCTGACCTATAGAAGCTGAGAAAGTCACTTTATCCTATTTCCCACCATCGTCGCTGGTTTTGATTATTTTTATGTGGGAAGGGACACAGGGTCCTAAAAGCCTGGATATGACCCTCCCTCCTAAATTAACACCCCCTCCCCTTATTTTTAGCTATGTTCTCTCCTTCCTGGTACCCCCTGTCCTCACACTTCTGCCCCATCCTCTGTCAGGGTAGAAGCTGGTCTGAATTAATAAGTTACACTTTGAGTTGGGAAGGAATGAGATGGAATATGTAAAAGGTACCCTGCTAAAACGTGAAGTAGGACTGCCTCTCCCATTCCACCCGGAGCTGGGGGGGGTCAGTGCAGCAGAAATGCTACAATGTAAAAACCAACATGGCTTCTATGCGTTTGTTTTGTTTAACTGGATAATAAACCCTTTCAATTTTGTTAGGAGCTAAATCAACTTTTTGGGGTCAGGACTAGGATACAGAACAAGTGTCTATGAGAACAAGCATTTCAAGTTTCACTAAACAACTTAGAATTCAACCTGGGAGTCACAAACCATTTCTGAATTGGGGAGTGCCTGTCTTGGACTGGTGGGCATTAGGCTATCAGTTCCTGGAGTTTTATCTATCATTTGTGAGTGTGTATGTAAAAATATCCCCACCTCCAGCTAAAATAGCCTGGGAATGGGATCAGAGGTGATCATGCAGTTGTGAAAAGAATTGTTATTTCCTTTCCGAAGCCCTTTAGAGGGAGCAAGCAGGAGGTGGAAAGGCCTCCCTTTGAGTGGGACAGACCTACTTACTACATGAATTGCACCTTTAAAAAAATAAAAGCAGTGATTTTCAATAGGTTCTCTGTTTTCAAGTAAATTTGCCTTTTATCATGAGGAGTCCATCATTGCCGTATGTTGATTTTCAAATA